AAGACCACGTGCAGCAATGAAGACCCAACACAGCCATAAATAAATTAAAAAAAAAAAAAAAGCTCAGGGTGTCAGGAACCTGGACAAGGCCAGAGGATAGTATACTGCAGAGCAAAAATCAGTTAGGCTCAGGAATATTGGAAGACATTATACACAGAGAAAACCAGATTCTAGGAGGACAGCTCTAAACACTGCTAACACACATTTATCGTGGCTACAAGTTCACATATATTTGCTTAGTATCTGTCTATTCTAGCAATTGACAAAGGAAGGGCCCTGAGTTAACAAACAAAATTCTCAAAGGCTACCTTATCCGAAGTTAAGTCACTTTTTTCTAGATTAGAAGTCAGACTGGGTTATGTGACCCACAGATATGTTTTGTCTGGCTTGCACAGGTTCTTAGGAAACCTCACATTAAAAAAATCTAGATATTTAGCAAGTAGGCCTGCTTCATTTCCATATAGGAACAATCAGCAACGTACCTTGTAGATAAGGCATATAATTCCCAGTTTCCACAGTCCTCACCACTTCCTATTATATTATAGTCAACCTGCCTTATTATTTTTTTAACCTATCAAGACCATTTGATTGTAACCTCTGATCTTCATCTTCATCACAAACTGCTCTTTATATACTTCTTTACAACATTTGTTTTCTAACCATGTCCCAGATACTAAGCATACAAATATAAATAATGCATCATCCCTGCTCTTAAGGAGGCTCTCAGGCTAGAAGCAGAGACCACTGAGTTAAATGCTCCTAGGCAGAATAATGATGGCACAAAGGAACGATCAACTCTGATTTGGCAGGTCAGGAAGCACAGTACTAGGGAGATGCTTGAACCCAATCTTGGAGGGGTATGACAGGCAGAATGCACAGCGTGACAAAGAGTGCCACTCTTTTGGCAATTACACATAGTTCAGAATAGATGAAACAGAGGAAAGCTGTAGGAGAGTGAGAGAGAAAGGAGTGCTGGGGTTATATCAAGAATGGCTTGGGCTCCCCTGGTGGTGCAGTGGTTGAGAGTCCGCCTGCCAATGCAGGGGACATGGGTTCGCGCCCTGGTCTGGGAAGATCCCACATGCTGCGGAGCGGCTGGGCCCGTAAGCCATGGCTGCTGAGCCTGCGCGTCTGGAGCCTGTGCTCCGCAACGGGAGAGGCCACAACAGTGAGAAGCCCGCGTACCGCAAAAAAAAAAAAAAGAATGGCTTGTATTTACACTGGAAAGTGTGACTTTTATCCCATATGCCAAAGGGAATTAGTGAAGAGACTGAGGCATAATCAGGTTAATATTTTAGAAATATAATTTTGGAAGCAGCATGGAGGATAGTTTAGAAGATGGAAGACTTACAGTTAGGAAGGGATCATTGACAAAATCCAAGCTGGCTTGAGGCCTGAAGGCAAGAGGCAGCAGTGGGAATGGAGAAGAGAAACTGGCTAGAGACAGTGACTGACTAACGCAGAGGGTGAGAGAAAAAAAGAAGTCAAAGAAGAGTTCTAGGCTTGTAGCTTGAAAGATAAGGTGGATAAAAAATGCAGGAGAATGACACATGGGAGGATGAGAATGGATGGTATAAAATCTGAGGTGTAAGTGGCTACAAAGGCGGCAACATACATTTAGCATCTGGATAAGAGTCAGGAATCAGGTGGAAGGTCAAGGCAGGAGAGAAAGACTTGGGAATTGATAGCATTTCTGATAAACCAGAAGACACTGCAATGCGTAATACCACATAGAGGTATTCAGAGTCAGATAAAGAGCAATGACATATCCCTAAGAATCCCCAACTCCCCAATAAAAATTAATTAAAAAAATAAAATAGCATATGAGAGAGAGAAAAAAAAAAGTACAGTCTGTGTCCTCAGAGGGCAGCCAGGTGTCAGACAAGAAGATGGAGAACCAGGGTACAGGGTAGTATGTTTTCAGTAGAGCTGTTAGCTGTTAGAGGAGGAATGAAAAGAGGTGGGAAAGATAGTAAGTGAGTAAACAACAACAACAACAAGTGAAAAGAAATGGGGACAAGAAGAAAAGGAACCAGCAAGTTAGGAATCTAGTCTTAACAGGGAGAGAAGGCTTCCCCAAGGAAGTGAGGCTTAGCTTGAGCTGAGATCCAAAGGATGTGATGTCTCATAGGTACCTCATGTTCATCAGGTACAAGATCAAAGAGCATCCCAAACTTGTCACTCTTCCAGTGTTTCCTAGCTCAGTGAATGGTCCCACTGTCTATCAAGTCATGCAGTTAGAAATGAAGGAGGTATTAATAACATCTGCCTCCCTTATGCCCATTATCCAAATCATCACATAAGCATCAGGTAAAGAGAAAAGCAGTCGGGTAGAGGAAACAACATATATAATATTCCTAAATTGTAAGACAGTATGGTGCATTCTGGAAATTGAAGACCTTTTACTTTGAGATAGAAGAGGAAGGGGCTAGATCATGATGGGTTTTGTTGGTCAGTTAAGGATTTTGTTCTTTATCCTAAGAGAAATGGAAGCCATTGATGGGTCTGAAGCAAGGAAAAGTGACAAGATCAGATTTATCTTTTGAAAAGTGCATTCTGGGTAGAATGGTAGGCAGACTGGAGAAAACTGGAGTATAAGAAGACCAGAAAAAAGGCTACTGTAGTCATCCAGGTGAGAGGGGTGGTACTTGAAATAGGGTACCAACCATGGACATGGAGAGAAGTGGATGGTTTTAGTGGTAGTAGAGATTAAGCAAGTAGGAATTGGTGACAGTAGTGGGAATTCTCTCCTAGTTCAATGTTGTTAGGAATTACCTAGTTGTAAGGGAATGGCTGATTACATGGGAGAAAAGACAGATGATTGAGCATGTTTTGTAACAGTACTGCCCTTAGACCTGAGTGAGTACCCTCCTCCTGCTGCAAAGGACAAGGAGTCCATGAGGTCAAGGGGCCATGTCTGCCCCTTGAGCCTGTGCTCCTCTTTCAGAGTGGCTAGATCTGAGGGCAGATGGAGCAGCTGATTACACATCACTATTCGCAGAGGGTTCAAGATGTGGACATAGCTTGGACATGCTGGGTGAGGTGGGTGAAGAAGTTGGGAATGGGAAGAGAAAAGGGTCAGTCTGAGGACTCCATTAGTCTGAGAATTCTAAATTTAAACCTGGCTTTCCAGATCATTATTTAAGTAGATTTGCCAAGGTAGGAGAGTAGAATATATTTTTAATAATAGTTTGTTATCTTGATTTATAACTTAAATATTTAGACACACAGTCTGTGAAGCTCCATAACCACACTCTTGCTCAGGCTCTATAAATTTAGGGTCTGCCTTAATAAGAGTGTATAAAATAATATAGTGCAATTAGTAGCGAATTCAGGTGAGAGTCCACACTAGCTGGGCCCTTAAGGAGTCAGATTTTCCAGACTCCTGCAGGGAATATAAGAGTATAAATGGCGCAAATTTACAGGCACTATATTATGTATATAAGAGACACTCTCATATCTGGAGGGCCAACAATTAAGAAGTTATTTTAATTGCAATGATTTCAGTGTGATTTTGAAAAGCTTCTTAAATACAGCCGAAGTTTAGGGCACAGAAGGGATCTTAGTAATCATGTAATCAAATATACTCACTTAATAAATGAAACAGAAGTTCAGACAGATAAAGAACACCCTGACTGAGGTCACAAAGCTAGTCAGTAGCAGATGATTTCCAGCCCCATAATCTCTGTCCACACTTTTCAGTAAGACATCTACTGTCAGTCAATTCCAACTACACAGCTTACACTTGCTTTCATTGCTATGCATTAAAGTACAGTGAATAGTTTTCATTACTTTAAAAATTTGACGCGCCTCAAAAAAAGTCTATAAACCAATATTAAATTTTGACTCCAAAATATTCTTAAAACCAATCCCCTTTACCCCTCAAAAGTGAAAACAAAATAAAGAATTCCAACTTCATGAGGTCACGAGAACTGGTAATTCTGGAAAGTTACTTTTAATTGTTTTCCACAAAGTTACAGGCAGCTTAGGGCACCTTTTGGTACTCAAAATATCCTCTGACTGGTCATCTCATTTGACTACTTTTATTTTTACATCTGGTTCTTTGACTTCTTGGTCTCATGTAAGACCTTAGAGTAAAATTATAATCGTACTCTTCACTTGGTTGCAATTACTGTAACCCAACTCCTCAAATTCCTTATCTTCTAAGGTACAAATCACAGCACGCGCTTACAAAACATCGAACACTCAGACTGCTAACTAAACGCTAAAATACACACTTAAAAAAAAACTTGCTTTTCAAACATCTATAAATATCGCTAGTGCATTTTTCTTAGCAAATCTGCGTTATAATAATGATAATAAAATTGAAATCTTTAACGGTCTAATCACAAGCGCTTAAAAAAAAAAATTCTCCAGGAGAGTCTTACCTTCAAGCTCGGTAGTAATCCGAAAGTTCTAGGTGTGCAGAAGTTATTTCCCTCAAAGCATTAGAGATGACGATCTTAGCAAAAGAGTAACACATCTTGTCAGGACACCAAGTGACTTTTAGCTCCTCCCATCAATCGACTACTGCCTAACAGAAGGAAGGATTTAATTTCCGGCAAAATTTTCTCCTCGGAGCTGAGAATCTGCGAAATTCGGCTTTCTGAGCGGGAAAAGGCAGGGGAGGGACCAAAAGGACCCCCCAAGGAAAAAGGAAGGGACAGTGGTATAAGACAAAGTCGACGAGGCAGAGACGAGCGCGGGGCCGGGTCAGACTTTGGGGTCTGGAGTTGGGGTTCTCTCAGACACTCACTGGGCACCCGCGTTCACACTGACGACAACTGGACGACCCTCCCCTCACAGCTTGCTCCGCCATTAGCCGCGCCCCGCGGCCCTGTGACCTCCAAAACTGGTACGCTTGGCGATTCCCCCAACAACTTCGGCTCCAGACTCGCGCTTTTGATTGGTTCTTAAGATATCCCTCAGCGTGGCTCGCCCAATGGAGGGCCCGGCCGCTCCGCCCCTTCCCTGCCCCCTGAGGAGAGCCCGCCCCTGCCCCGCGCCTGCGAGCGGAGGAGAGTAAATACAACAGGAGCGCAAAATGGCGGAACCGCCAAGCCTAGTGCACTGCGCCCCCGCCGCCGTCTCGGAGAAAGAACCATTTTCCAAGCTGCAGCCCCCCTCCCGGGACCCGCCGGGTCCTCTGTCTGCCAAGAAGATCCGGACTGAGGAGAAGAAGACGCCGCGGAGACTGAACGGAGAAGGAGGCAGCGGCGGCAACAGCAGGCAGCTGCAGTCTTCCGCGGCACCTTCGCCTCAGAGCTATGGCAGCCCTGGGTCTTGGAGCTTCGCCGCTCTGTCTGCTGCCCCCTCCCCGTCCTCTGCTCGGAGCAATTTCTCTTTCTCCGCTGGCACGGCCGTCCCCTCTTCAGTCTCTGTTTCCTCGTCCCAGCCGGTGCCGCGCAAACTGCTGGTCCCTCCTACGCTGCTGCACGCTCAGCCTCACCATCTCCTGCTGCCAGCCGCCGCCTCCTCAGCCAACGCCAAGCCGCGCAGACCCAAGGAGAAGCGAGAGAAGGAAAGGAGGAGGCACGGCCTCGGCGGGGCAGGCGAGGCCGGCGGGGCAGCCCGCGAGGAGAACGGGGAGATGAAGCCGCTGCCGAGAGGTGGGTGCCGGCGCCGGGTGGGGGGAAGGGAGGGCGCCCCGGGTCCTCGCCACCCGCTCGCGCCCGCGGGGCCCAGGCAGGGGGAGCGCGGGGGCCGCTTGCGCCAGCCTGGAGGGGGCGGGAGGCGTCCGGTTCTCCCTCGGAGATTTTGCGGTCCCCATGGGGACAGGAAATTGAGCCTGTAATTTCGGTAGCACCGAGGGGGATAGCTGAAATCTATTTTCTGTATCGTTTGTGCCTCGATAATGCGCGGCAGGATTTGTAGAATTCGATGTAGAGGACCCGCCTAGGTGTGTTTCTCTACGGAGGGAGATGGGAGGGAATGGGATCGCGAAGGGTTTGATCCTGTAGAAGATGCTTGATTATTAGACCGTTTAGACGTGATCACGGAATTTGTATTTGTGACACAGGCTCCAACGCCAGAAAATCCTGTCAAAAAAAGGGGTGTGGAGAGCATTGGCGTCAGCTGGAAGCTACCAGAGGCCTGAGCTTTTCATCCCTATTAGGGAAATGAGGTAGTGTGCAGGGCCCGGAGTGTGCTGTTTCATAAGGTACCCTCCCTCCACCCTCCTCTCCGCTCCGTATTCTTAAGTGTTGTGAGTGGTCCTGTTTGAAATACCACCCTTCAGAAAGAATTTTCGGCCATATTCTTTTTTTCCTGCAGCAAATGATAAAATCAGGAGCCTTGACGTTTTTTGGCCAGACCAAGTACTTGCTGCAAAATGTTTTAGCATCAGAGAAAGGCAACTTCTTAAGCGTTCTTTTCAGACACGACTGCGCGGTTTTCTTTTAAAAAGTAGGCTAGTCATATAATTCTCAGGAAGTATGTCTATAAAATAGATGGTCCTACCTATTTAGATGTTTGATACACAGTTTTGAAAGTGGCACAACGTGGAGACTGGTTGAAAATTAGATCTTTATGTGATCAAAAGCTTAAAGCAGGTAGTGATCTTTATTATAAATGTACATTGATACACAGTATTGTGAAAGTATTTTTGTTTGTTTTAGGAAAAATGAAATGTCAAGCAGTTTTAGCATTGCTGATCAAATGGTAGCTTAGATCATGAAAGATTCTCTATGTTTGAATTAGAAAGGCATATTTTCGCAATTTTTAAAAATGTGCACGAATATGTAGCAACAGTGTTACTTTTTTGATATTTTGCCTGTAGCAAAGCTTTGACATCTAAGCATAGGCATCAGGTACTCTGGCACAAGGTAAAGGATCCCTCAGCTTTGGAGAGTGTTGTTTCTAGGAAAGTGGTTTTGAGGATGGAATTTATACTACTTTTAGTCTGGGATTTTAGGTGATTAGTATTTTAAAGCAATTTTGTTTTAATAATTACATTTAAAATTTGAAAGTGCCTGGAAGTCAGCATTTGCAGCTCAATATCGGTCTTATTTGTGATGTATAAACAGTGTATTTGCTCTTCTAAGTTCTTTGAATGAGAACGTAAATATGGGTATAACATTGTCGATGTATTGGAATGGCTGAAAATAAATAAGTAAGCATTCTTTAACAATTCTCTGGAGCACATAAATTGCTTTTAAAGTGAAATGGCTGTTAAAGAGAAAGTTTTCTAGTCTTTTAAGTTACATTTAGAATCCTCCTTTTGAAGGCTACAGCTTACATTATTAAGCCTGAATATAAGCAATGATAGCTTTTATTCCATGATTTATGTAGGTTTTTTGAGTAGTGACTAGATAGTAACACTATGGTAAGATTTTCTTTTTTTTATGGAAATGCTGCTATTTTATAGAGGAATAACTAAAAATCAATGAGAAGGATTGCTTTTCAGTGTCGTGGTGATACATTTAATGGTGAAAATCTTTACCTCTTAATTTGGGAAGTACTCATATCCTGAAGTTCAGATTTAACTGAATTGAGGTTCTGTTTTATTCAACTAAGAAAATTTTTAAGCAACAGAAGTATTAAAATAACAAAATTATATACATGCATTTAATATAGACATAATTGCAAATATAAAAGTCCTAATTTGCAATACATTTCTCATTTTTCTGCGTTTTTTGTGAAAGTCTTAGTGAATGGATGACCACGTGTCTGTAGTTTTAAGTATATACCTCTTTTTGGTATTGCTCTAAGTTGGATAGTTGATAGGATAGCACATAGGATAGTTCAGTGACTCCCACAATTATCCCATAGATCATTGATTGACCAATCTTGATCAGAACTGGAAATTAGTTATAAAGACACCAAAGCAAGGAAAATAAATCCTTCTCTCAAAAGAAAAACAAAACCCCCAAAACCATCCAAAAGATGCAGCCCCCAAACTCCATTAAGCAATTAAATTCCTGTATTTATTTGTAGTAGTTTTTTTTTAAGTCTTTAGTCAGAACTGCTAAATTTTTACATTGACTACCATTCTAACAGAAGTTATTTGGATTAAATGAAAGTGTGTGTATGAAAGGCAGGGCATTTAGTAAATGTTGAGTCAGAAGCATGGTGATTTTTTTTTAACCCCATAGTAAATAAAAGATGGGTCAATCCAGTTAGAGGAAGGATCGTTGACAGTAGATCTGAAAGTTAAGAGTGATGAACAGGAAGGTTATAAAAGCATACCAGTCTAGGTCCATTAGCATAAGGGCTGATGTCTTACAGACTTAAAACCTCTGAGGCCATCTAGTCATAGTACTGTAGCCGACTTGCATGACAGCCTGAGTCATCAAGTAAAAGTTAAATTTATTTCTTATAAAAAGAAAAGTGCAAAACATTTTAGATTTTTTAAAAAATTAGTTTTATTTTTTAATTTATTTTTTATTTTATTTTTAAAATTTATTTATTTATTTTTGTCTGCGTTGGGTCTTCATTGTTGCCCACGGGCTCTCTCCAGTTGCGCCAGCAGGGGCTACTCCTCGCTGCTGTGCGCAGGCCTCTTATTATGGTGGCCTCTCTTGTTGCAGAGCACAGGCTCCAGGCGCCTGGGCTTAAGCCCTTGTGGCTCATGGGCTCTAGAGCACAGGCTCAGCAGCTGTGGTGCACGGGCCCAGTTGCTCCACGGCATGTGGGATCCTCCCGGACCAGGGCTCGAACCTGTGTCCCCTGCATTGGCAGGCGGACTCCCAGCGAGTGAGCCACCGGGGAAGTCCTAGATTTTTAAAACTATGAAATAAAAGTTTTGATGTATAAAGAGGTAAGCTACTAAAGAGTTTGCAGCGCATTTTCCTGTAAGACTGAATAAATTATTAACTGGTAAATGTGGAAGGTAAAAGTGGACATGTGCTGAAGGTGTCCAACATTTAGAATTACAACAAACAGGGACTTGTGTGGCGGTCCGGTGGGTACGACTCCGTGTTCCCAGTTCAGGGGGCCCAGGTTCGATCCCTGGTTGGGGAACTAGGTCCCGCATGCATGCTGCAACTAAGAAGTCTACATGCTGCAACTAGAAGATCCTGTATGCTGCAGTAAAGATCAACTGAAGATGCCACATGCTGCAACGAAGACCCCGTGTGCCACAACTGAGATCAGGCATAGCCAAAATAAATATAAATATATACATAAATATTAAAAAAAAAGAATTATAGCAAACAATAGAACAAACATATTACTAGATAATAAGCTGCCTTAACTGATTCCAGTAACCAGTAAAACTTGTATAGATCTTCTAATTTTTGTTAGCATTTTTGCTTTGCATTTATTACCTTATTTCCTTAAAATGACCCTGTGAAGTATCCCAAGACAAAACCAGGGCATTTCACTAAATTTTTGCCTTGAAAGTGTAGATACAGAATTTAATGAAAATAGAGGCTTTCCTTAGAATTGAAAAATTTGAGGTAATTATCAATGATTTTAAAGGGATAGATGTTAAAAGATTTTTCAAACTAGGCTTTTCCTGCATCTTTCTAATACTGTTATTCTGCAATTTCAGGTTAAATTCATGTTGAGAGTTTTCATCATTCCAACCAAATATTTGTCACTGCTGAGATAGTAGTTTACTATGATTTAGTTTTCTCGTGTAACCTTTTGCTTTTCATGCCTTGTTTTTTCATTTGCTTAGTTTTGTCTTTCTGTATCCTCCAGCAGCTCTGTAAAATGCTTCTCAGTACAATTTTCCACATGGTCAAATCTGTCACATAAACTTACCACTTCCACTTATTCCTGTAGTCATCCCTTCTGTAGCTGTCCTTCCTGCTTTATTCTGGATTGTTTTCTGTTTAGGCCTGCTGCAAAGGTGTTTTGGGACATTCTGGGAATTTTTTTTACTTTTGTTGAGTCCCTTTTTTCCTGGATCCCATGCCTTCCTTTTAGTTTATTCCTTCTTTTTGGTTTCTCTACTATTACTGTGAAAGAGTGCATGAGATATTTTGAGGGGTTTCGTTTTTACCCTCACACTTGACTGTTGGGCTGTTGAGAGATTTCTGTGTTGGAAATCATTTTTCCTTAACAGTTTGGAGGTGTTCCTTTATTGCTTGGCTTCCAATGTTGGTGCTGAGAAATTTGATCTCCAAAAAACTGTCTTTTGTCCTATCTGGGAGATTTCAATCCTTTCAATGAATTTTAAAATTTCAGGTATCTTTTTAAAAAAAATGTTTTATGAGCTCTTCTCTATTTCTGTATAATGCATCTTGTTTCTTTTTCATGGGTACAGCATCTTCCGTTATCTCTTCAAGGATATTAATTAGGGCTTCCCTGGTGGCGCAGTGGTTGAGAGTCCGCCTGCCGATGCAGGGGACATGGGTTCGTGTCCCGGTCCGGGAAGATCCCACATGCTGTGGAGCGGCTGGGCCCGTGAGCCATGGCCGCTGAGCCTGCGCGTCCGGAGCCTGTGCTCCGCAACGGGAGAGGCCACAACAGTGAGAGGCCCGCATACCGCAAAAAAAAAAAAAAAAAAAAAAAAAAAAAAGGATATTAATTACAGTTCCTTTGACATTTTCTTCCATGCCTTGCATTGTTTTTGGTTCTTCTTTTTTCTGTTTGTTTTGGTCTCTTTTTTTTGTTGTTGAAGGCTTTCTTCAGATCTGTGTGATCCTCAGCAGTTCCTTCA